GACTCCATATCCTCCGCCAACAGTCGCTATGTGTTTTCATCAGATGATGAGTATAGGACTGCATCGGAAACATCAGGTGGGATTCGTATCCAGAGCAAGGAGGATAACTTTAAGTGCGGTGAGGAAAAGGAAAATGTTATTCGTGCGCAGTGGTGGTTGCCTGCTGGTCTTTGTGTGGCACGTAAAATAAGAAGTGATAACTCTCTCTCTTGGGTCCATAATGGTGAAAAGGAAAGGCAATCATCCTGTCCAAGCAGAGGAATACAGGAACTGTATACAGATTCAGATGACCTAAATGTAATATATATTTTAGAACTGTAAAGATGTATAGGTTTATTATTTTACTTGATAACTTTCTATCTTCTAAGTTTCAGGATATTTTTTCATAGAAGCAGATTTTAAACAGATTGAAGCTAAGAATAGAATAGGTAACTAATACCATGGCTATCTAAGGCACATTCAATGAGATGACATGTTTGGGGGTAAGCACACTTAGGGGAAAGATGTGTATTTAGGACCTTGTACATAGAGGGCATGTAGGGAAAAGAGATTAAAGTAAAAAAGGAGAGTTATCACCTTCTGACATAAATGCACGTAACAACACTGTATTTCAAGTCAGTTTGTACAGCTGAGAGCCTTAACAAGACAGTTCATGATCTGGAGTTAACTTTGTTGCATCCATTTTCCTCATTTGAAAAGATAGTTGCACCTGTAGCTTAGGATATGAAATAAAACATAAAAAGAAAATAAATAGACAAAACTCCATGTTTCAAGTTGAAATACAAAGCTCTTTTTCATGTGGAAATGCATAAAAGATACTCCATGTCTACTTCCACCTGAAAGGAGTGTTGTGTCTTTGTGTAAAAGCTTGTGGATTTTTAAATTTCCTTTCCTACTGCAGTTAATTTGTTTTGTTTGTGTATTTGTTCTCATATCACTTTTCATTACCAGAAATCAAGTTTAGAAAATCATATTGATTTATCTGTCTTTATATTGTGGCTTTATGTTGCTCACTGTGATAGATATGATAATTATTTAATCATAGCAGCTTTGTATAAAGGCATTTGACTGTAATTTTATCCCATTTTAGTACTCGTAGACTTATATGCTGATAAAATGCAATCTAAGGAGAAAGTATCTAACTTTTTGAGTATGATTGAGTTTTTGTCAGTTTTATAGGAAAGTCAATTGAATATTAACTACTAAACAGTATTTCGTTTACAAGCTTTAAGAACCTGTGAATATTATGTAAATAGAAAATATTTTCACATAAAATTCAATAGATGCTGACTAAACTATTTGACATTATTTTTATGGACAAGTAATGAGTGCTATAATTCAATATTTGACTTATATGGGGCTAATATTTTAAGAATCATAACTAATTTCTCTGTCGCAACTTGCAACAGAACGAGCCCGATCACGCTCCAACTCAAGAACAAGATCAAGCAAGAGATCAAGGTCCTCCCCACCAACATCCCGCAGAAACACACGTGATGACTTCCCAAGCATTAGCAAAGATGAAGTTCTAACGTCCTGCTACTCAGAATCGGGATCTCTCCACTCCATCTCAGATCTTGATGCACAGCACAGGCCAGAAAAGGTACATCAGCTAAGATGTGTTTATCATTTATGCTCATTTTTAGGAAAAGTGGCACAGTTAAAATTGTTTTTTATTTGACTTGCATTTGACTTACATTCTTAAAACTGTAATTTGTATCTCTATGTTTATAGGACAGCAGTGCCACAACCCTTACTGGTTCAGGTGATGCTCTCTTGGTGGATCTTTTGGAAACGCAGGTGGAGAGCCTTAAGGCCAAGCTAGAACAGACTCAGGTAAGTGGCTACAACTTTCTCCTTTTTCATGTGACTCAATCTACTGGTCATCCCTGTGTTAAGGGTGAGTATTAAAATGGATAGCATAGATTCCTTGACATAAAACTTGTTATATACTGATTAAATTTACAAGCATTTGCTGCTATTTAAATCTCTTGTCATTTTTTCGTATGTGGGCTAGTATTTAGTACTTTAGTCTCACCAGTAGTATATGTGTGTAGTTACTTCAGTCAGTGTGAGCTCAAGGTTACATGTCCATTGTGTCAATGCTTGCTGTGGCTGTTTCTGTCCCTGTCATATGTAGCTTCAGTTTCTTTACTCTCTAATATAAATATTGAATGAGATAATTCATATTCCCCCTAAACATAGAGGATATAAAATGCAGGATGTTGTTTTGAAGCTAAATTTTTGTTTAAAATTGTCTGTTAAACAAATTATTTAAGAAAGAGAATGTGTGCTATGTTATGCTTTTATGTTACATTAACATGAATATGAAGTCTTTGGTTGACCTCTGTGACTGGATGCTGACAATCAAACCAAGGAAGTGCACTTAGTTGAGAAATGAGGGAAAAAGGGAGGTGGAACTACTGCATCTAGGGGAAAGAAAAGGAGTAGGAAATATGTTATGGAGCCTCTTTTATGAGGAAAGCATTGTGGGCTCCTGCGGGAAGATAGAAAATGTGAAGCATAATTAAATGAGGGAGATCAAGGAATGATTAAATGGATAGAAAATTAAAAGGCAGAAGAGAGAGTTGAAAACAGATGATTTGAGTGAGCTTAAAACTTAATATGTTGTAGAATAGTAACAAGACCGAGTGTCTTAGTGATAAGCTTACAGACTTGGAAATGCAAAGATAGGATGTGTGGAGAGTTCTTCAGTGGTAGACATGACATGACAGAGTAGGGAGTGATCATACTTCTGATGACAGGTAGATGGAATGGTCGACAAGGATGGGAGAGTAAAACTATGAAATTGTTATGAAAGATCAGCTGAATGATAGATTGCACAATGAAGAGAAACTGTAATACATACATCAACTAGTTTGGATGCCAGTAAAGTAGGGCTTGATTGGTTTTATCATAGAAAAGTCACTGAAGAGTATATATACTCTATATATTTTTAGTACTTAAGACTAAATCCAAGACTTGGGAGTTCTGACTAGTGGAATGATATTGAAATGCGTGTGATTCTTTGATTTTGACTGGCAAGTGTGAATGAGGTCTTGTGCTGAGATATAAATAGGAGCACAGGGAAAGCAGATCATCATTGATGCTGTAAGATTAGGGATGACTGAAGCTTGTTACCGTGATGCACCAACCAGGCTGACTACCTGGAGCTCCACAAAGAGAACTCTGGCCTGAAGACCCGTCTGCGGAACGGTGGAAGAGCTTCCCCGTCCAACACGGCCACTGGGGCCCACCACCACCACCTCCACCATCACCACTCAGAGCTAGACTTGTTCCACCAGGTACCAGACACGTCCCGTCCTGTTCCCGGGTGCTAGACCTGCTGCTGGTGGAGAGTGTACAGAACTCTGCACTTGGACACCACCAAATAACACGATAGATTTAGATACAGAGAACCTAGGCTCTTCTTGCTGCTTTCATGAAACCTTTTCCAAGGAATGCGCTTGACCTCACTCCGCAGTCGGATCCTTCTTCTAGACACAACTTTTTCTCTTTTCTGGGCACTTGTCAGGCAGAAAATGGAGACCAGCATGCACACTGCATGATTCTGTAACAGTTCTTGAAGCTTGAATAAACTATTGGTGGACCACAGGGGTCTTTATAGAGATTGCTGCCATCACAAACACCCATATTACCCTCTGTTAAGTCAAGGACACCATGCTCTTTATTACATAAATGATCTGTGATAGGTAACTGTTGTTATTATCGTTACTCTGGTTCATTTTGTTACTGACATTCAATTTTTTACTATGCTTGTTATTACCGATATTATTATTGTATTTGAACTTTCTGCATATATTATTGTTGACATTGTCATCATCATCATTGTTATTATTTATAATCATCAGAATGATAATAATGATAATAATAATAATGATAGTAATAACTGTAATGATAATAATAGTAATAGTAATAATGATTTTTATTGCTATTATTGTTATTATTATTATCATTATTATTATTATTATTGTTTTTATTATTTTTTTTTTTCTTAATTATTATTATTATCATTATTATTATTATTATATTATTATTATTATTATTATTATTATTATTATTATTATTATTATTATTATTATTATTAGAAATAATCATGTTAATTATAGTCATCATGATAATGATAATAATGATAACAGCAATAAAAAAATAGTAATTGCAATGCAAATTATTATTATTGTTTTTATTATTTTTATTATTATTATTTTTATTATCATTATGATTAAAATATGATGATGATGATCATCATTATCATGATCACGATCACCAACACCATCACCACTATCATCATCATCATCATCACATCATCATCACCATCACCATCACCATCACCATCACCATCACCACCATCACCATCACCATCATCATCATCATCATCATTATCATTATCATTATCATTATCATTATCATTATCATCATCATCATCATCATCATCATCATCATCATCATCATTGTTACCATCATCATAATCATCATCACCACCATCATTGTCATTATCACCATTACCACCACCATCGTAATCATCACCACCATCATCATCACTATCACCACCACTGTCATCACCACCACCATAATCACCACCACCATCATTATCATCATCATTATCATCATCATAATCATCATCATCATCATCATCATCATCATCATCATCATCATCATCATCATCATCATCATCATCATCATCATCATCATCATCATCATCATCGCTAGTAGTAGTATTTTTTTTTTTTTTTTTTTTTTCATTGCTGTTATTTTTATTCCTTTGATGATTAAGTTATTACTGTTATTAGCATTTTTTTCAATTATTATTTTTGTAGTACGACCTTGTTGGATTTGTTTTTATGACAAGATATATTTTGGTTGAACCATAGGTCCTTGCTTGAATGTGATTAGTTCAGGTTTTTACCTGTTGTTATAATTGTGTAATTGTGATTTGTCACCTTTGTCTTTACCATTTGTATGTACAAAAAAGGAAGATGAAATTTTAAAATTAATGTAAAAAATTAGGTACAGTCCAGCTTGGGCCCTAAGAACATGGTTCTCCAAAAATAATGGAAAAAACTACTTCATAATACATCTTTCCTTGTTCGACGTATTAAAACTTCCTTCCCATTCTCTGTGTTACGGGAGCAGGTTGAGTCCTCTTTTCCACCTTCAGATACTCTGTCTTGCATGTGGTTGAGCAGCCACTGTGGAGGCCAACCTTGAGGAAAGCTTTGCTAGATAGTTTCACTGAAGAAAACTCTGTGTAAAGTGAAAGTTGGATGACTAAGAGTAGTGACCATATTTTAGTAAGAATACTTGTTATGGTTGAAGGGCGTAGAGGATGTAGACACACTTCAAGCTGTGTACAAAGAGTGGCACAGTAGTGACAAGATTGAGCAGTGGCAGACTCTTCTGATCAGACGGATTTTGAAATGAATTCTTAACAATCATGAGAGAATGACAGACTTACAATTGACTAACCATACAGATTACACATGTGCACTGACATAGGTTTCTTGATACAGTGACTTATTATATTGATTAAATGAAGTAGATATCTCATACTTAGTATGAACTAACAAACCAAAGTGCTAGCACTATGAAATACTAACAGAAATTTGCTGAATTTTTAGTATATACTAGTTGAATTAAAAATTTTACATCATCATCATCATCATCATCATCATCATCATCATCATCATCATCATCATCATCATCATCATCATCATCATCATCATCATCATCATCATCATCATCATCATCATCATCATCATCATCATCATCATCATCATCATCATCATCATCATCATCATCATCATCATCATCATCATCATCATCATCATCATCATCATCATCATCATCATCATCATCATCATCATCATCATCATCATCATCATCATCATCATCATCATCATCATCATCATCATCATCATCATCATCATCATCATCATCATCATCATCATCATCATCATCATCATCATCATCATCATCATCATCATCATCATCATCATCATCATCATCATCATCATCATCATCATCATCATCATCATCATCATCATCATCATCATCATCATCATCATCATCATCATCATCATCATCATCATCATCATCATCATCATCATCATCATCATCATCATCATCATCATCATCATCATCATCATTTTCATTGCTGTTATTTTTATTCCTTTGATGATTAAGTTATTACTGTTATTAGCATTTTTTTCAATTATTATTTTTGTAGTACGACCTTGTTGGATTTGTTTTTATGACAAGATATATTTTGGTTGAACCATAGGTCCTTGCTTGAATGTGATTAGTTCAGGTTTTTACCTGTTGTTATAATTGTGTAATTGTGATTTGTCACCTTTGTCTTTACCATTTGTATGTACAAAAAAGGAAGATGGAATTTTAAAATTAATGTAAAAAATTAGGTACAGTCCAGCTTGGGCCCTAAGAACATGGTTCTCCAAAAATAATGGAAAAAACTACTTCATAATACATCTTTCCTTGTTCGACGTATTAAAACTTCCTTCCCATTCTCTGTGTTACGGGAGCAGGTTGAGTCCTCTTTTCCACCTTCAGATACTCTGTCTTGCATGTGGTTGAGCAGCCACTGTGGAGGCCAACCTTGAGGAAAGCTTTGCTAGATAGTTTCACTGAAGAAAACTCTGTGTAAAGTGAAAGTTGGATGACTAAGAGTAGTGACCATATTTTAGTAAGAATACTTGTTATGGTTGAAGGGCGTAGAGGATGTAGACACACTTCAAGCTGTGTACAAAGAGTGGCACAGTAGTGACAAGATTGAGCAGTGGCAGACTCTTCTGATCAGACGGATTTTGAAATGAATTCTTAACAATCATGAGAGAATGACAGACTTACAATTGACTAACCATACAGATTACACATGTGCACTGACATAGGTTTCTTGATACAGTGACTTATTATATTGATTAAATGAAGTAGATATCTCATACTTAGTATGAACTAACAAACCAAAGTGCTAGCACTATGAAATACTAACAGAAATTTGCTGAATTTTTAGTATATACTAGTTTTTAAAATTTTTCACATGAATTAGTTATGAATACTATGATATGTGGAATATGTAGTAAATTCATTAAGGAAAAACTGAGACAGAAATTGTTTGGAACTATTTTTTTTGGTTAATGATAAGAAATAAAAAGGAAGGGAACATAAAGGAAAGCCATTTGGATCATCCGGCACGGATATTATAGTGGGGAACAGCAGAAGTACCGGTGTCTCTTCCCTTGCAGTCCCCCCCCATTAGATCGAGAGCCAAGCTCGAGCTAAGTTTGGCTGACTCTCGCAACACCATAGCCTCCCTCACGGCCGACCTCACACGACTCCGCAAAAAATTGGAGGTATGCGAAGGTGACTTGGACAGGTCCGAGCGTGAGGTTGATAAGCTGAGGCGAGACAAGGAAGAGATGAGCTCAGATGCCCAGAGCCTGCGGCATAGGGTGGCCAGTCTGGAGAACCAGGTAAATGCTGTTGGAATTCAGAGCGCCAAAGTATATCTGGAAAAGTGCTAATGATTGTTTGGGAGTTAATCGAAAGAGCAAAAGAGCAAAATAATGGAATTTACAGGGTTCATGTAAATATTATCATATTCTTGTAGATATCTTAGTATATATCTTTGTAATTGTTAAGTAGAAAATAACCACGTGTTTAGATTCAGTCTTAACTGTGTTTTTGTTTTATGTAAATTTATCATAATTTTGGCTACTTTTGCATGTAGATGTATGAAAATACTAATAAGAGTAATCATAGATGGAAACTGAATTATTCTGAGAGCTATGTTCCAAGATTTAAGTTCTGCATAAGGTTTATCATTGCATTTATTTCTTCCTCTTCAGTGAGATTATCTTGTTATCGATGGTGAGTCCAATTTTACACTGATACTGAGATTTTTTGAAAAGAGAAGTAATATATGGTCTTGTCTCAGGTGTAACTTAGTCAACTTAAAGAAAGTTGGCATTTCACAATTAGCATGAAGGGTTTTCTTCCCTGTTCTTTTTTTATCTAAACCCCTAGGAAGATACCTATGACGCAGTCCTCTACATTATTCTGAAATTAAGGGAGTGTTTCGTTTTTTTTCGGGTTCCCTTTTGCAACCAAGCATGGGAGGTGTGACCGAGGTTTCTCATTTGGTCTTTATGTCTCACTCTTTCTCTTTTCCAACATGATTTAAACTTCTAGTTAAAAGGTGACTCAAAAGCTGTTTACCAGGCATCCATTTACTTTTTGGTTATTATTATTCTATTTTTTTATCATTATCATTACTTTTTTATTTTTGTTAGAGTATGTATCACCTCTAGAATTGATTTAATGTGGTGCTTGTTACAAATTACAGCAAAACCTTTTGAATCATAATGACAGTGCTGTAGCGTAGAATGTGTTGTTATATGCCCATTGATTCATAATTACAGTGCTGTAGCCTAGAAAGTGTTATGGTAAATATCAAAATCTTGTTATCACTGACTAGTCACCAAAATTGTATACTTTTCATTACAGTTAAAATTCAATAATAAGATTCTTATTATGTTGCATTGCTGCAAATTTTTCCTGAAGTCTATAATCTGATGCAGGTCAAGGAGTTGCTTGATCGGGTCGAGGAGCAAGAGCATGACCTCTCAGAGAAAGCATCTTGTGCCAACCAACTGAACGAGCTACGGAAAAAGTGAGTAGGATTATTTAGTGTGTGTGTGTGTGTGAGTGAGTGAGTGAGTGAGTGAGTGAGTGAGTGAGTGAGTGAGTGAGTGAGTGAGTGAGTGAATGAGTGAGTGAGTGGGTATGAGTGTGAGTAAGAGTGAATGAATAAGTGAGTGAGTGGGTGATTTAGTATGAGTCAGTGAGTGTGAGTCAGTGAGTGAGTGAGAGAATGAGTGGGTGTGAGTGTGAGTAAGAGTGAATAAATGAATGAATGAGTGAGTGAGAGGGTGATTTAGTATGAGTTAATGAGTGTGAGTGAGTGAGTGAGTGAGTGAGTGAGTGAGTGAGTGAGTGGGTGTGAGTGTGAGTGTGAGTGAGAGTGAATGAATGAGTAAGTGAGAGGGTGATTTAGTATGAGTCAGTGAGTGTGAGTGAGTGAGTGGGTGAGTGAGTGAGTGAGTGAGTGAGTGAGAGAGAGAGAGAGAGAGAGAGAGAGAGAGAGAGAGAGAGAGAGAGAGAGAGAGAGAGAGAGAGAGAGTGAGTGAGTGAGTGAGAGAGAGAGAGAAAGTGAGAAGGTGACATAGTGTGTGTGTGTGAGAGAGAGAGAGAGAGAGAGAGAGAGAGAGAGAGAGAGAGAGAGAGATGGAGACATATAGATAGACAAAGTCATTCACTGACTCCTGCCTGATGTTACCACAAGAATCATAAGAGAAGACTGTAATTCAGCTGCCATTATTGTTGCCTCAGTGTGGTTCTCTTAATCCCATTGCTAGTGAGATAATGCATCAGCTGGGGAGCACATAAGGCTCAAGGGTGGCAGGGAGTGTGTGGGATTCCCACCCTTGACTGTGGCTTAATTGTGTGTGGGAAGAATTTTCTGGGTTGAGGAGTAGTTACCTTCCCCTCCTCCTCCTCTCTTCCTCCTCCTCCTTTCCCCTCCCTCCATGCTTCCCCTCCTCCTCCTCCTCCTCCTCCTCCTCCTCCTCCTCCTCCTCCTCCTCCTCCTCCTCCTCCTCCTCCTCCTCCTCCTCCTCCTCCTCCTCCCCCCCTTCTCCCCCTTCTCCCTCCTCCTCCCTCCTCCCTCCTCCCTCCTCCCTCCTCCCTCCTCCCTCCTCCCTCCTCCCTCTCCCTCCTCCCTCCTCCCTCCTCCCTCCTCCCTCCTCCCTCTTCCCTCCTCCTCCTCCACTTTCTTAGAGTGGCAGTGGGACTGAGCCCTTGCTAGTGTGTAAATGTGTGTGTGTGTGTGAGAGATGCAAAATTGTTGTTGTTACTCTGATATTCCATTGTGACTGAGCATGCATCAACCCTTTTTCATTTAAGTTTGTTAAAGGAGGTTAAGTGAAAGTATGTTTTTTGTCTGCTTTATTGTTTGCTTTTTATTTTGATACTTGTTTTAATATTTTTGTTTTAATATATTTGAAGACTCTCTGCTTTGATGTTTTGTTTGTTGATATATTGCATGTAATTAGTGACTCATTTTAAGTACAAAACTGTTTAATCTTGTTTGCTTGTTTAAACTGCAATTAGTTTAGCTGTTACACACCCTCCACTGACAATTTCTGTTTCTTTGTTTACTTGTGTTTCTGTGTGCATCTGCATGTGCATATGCATCTGTGTGCACTTTTGTGTGTGCAACCAGGTACTCAGAGTTGCAGGAGCAGCTGTCGTGCCAGTCCGGGGTAGTAGACTGGAAACACCGTTATGATCTCTTGGAGAAAAAGTGAGCAACTTTTTTTATCACCTTAAGTGTGGATTGGGAAGGAGGGGGACCTGATGCTTGAATAAGTTTGTAGAGTTATCTATGTAAAGAAGACATAGTATTTCATGTTTCCTCTATAATTTTAGTCTTCCTTTTTCATTTCTCTTTTTAAGATTGTGCAGTGTTTTATCAGTTTATATTGTTTAATATTAATATGATTTAAATTTGTTTAGGAAGGTTTTAGTTTATAATTTGTTTTGTGAAATGTGGTATGAATATACAGAAAATTATAAAACATTTTGCCTTTTATATACAGTAAGTGATATAAATTTGAAAAGAAGATAGTGGAGCTATGTCCTTACTTTGTGCTTTGAGTGTTTTATGCTGTATTAGAAACCCTCACCAATGATAGAGATACAGAAGTAGTTTTTAGTGTAGCCAAGAGACTCTCCATAGACTTTATTAATCAATAAAAGTGACCAGCACTCAGGGTGTGAGTACAGTAGCTTGCATGAAATGAATTGCTAACAATTTACCCCTTTTTGTACCCTAACAACCACACTCGGATTCCATGACTGCTGCTACCGCCTGCCCGTGACCCTACTGCTACCACTACCATTTTTGTCATTTCCCTTGCCTTGCACCATAACCATAGACTCCTGAGAGAGCGTGAGGAGTGGCAACTAAAGTACAAAGAGGTGACTTCTGCTCAAGCCAGTCGCCATGATGAGTCTGTCCGCACACTTACCAGGTGAGGCATAGAAGGATGCCCAAGGGAAGGTATACAGGCTTAGTAGGCTTTAATTTGTTGTTTGATTTTAGTGCTTGTAAGGTCATACCTCTTATACATACAGGCAGAAAAGGTGATAGCAGTAGTTCATTTGTTAATGTTGTTTTTTTCTTTGAGTTTAACGTATATTATACATAAAAAATGTATTTAGTGCAATGGATATAAAAAAAGAAAAAAACAATAATTGAATAATTTCTAGGTCACTCCAAGAGGCAGAGAACCGTATTCAGGGCCTGGTAACAGAGCTGGAATGCGAGAGAGCAAGTGGTGCCAACGCCCCCACGAGGATACCTGGGGCAATGGAGATGGCCGGCCTCAAGAGGCAAAACCAGGAGCTTACAACCCAGGTGGGCCATAGGGTAGAAGGAGAGGTGGAGAGGGTAAAGGGCAAGGAGAAAAAAGAGAATGTATTGTGAAGATAGAAAAATAGAGTAAAATATAGAGGATGTTAGTGTTGTAACTAAGACAGGTATAAGAGAGTAAATAGTAAATGTGCCATTTATATATTACAATATAAATTAAACAGTAAATAATGCATGTTTACATCTGAAAGAAATGAAGAAACTTGCAGTACTCAATGAGCAGATTTTACTCAGTCCTCTACCTTTGACATGTAATAATGTTCTCCCACAGATCGAGCACCTAACAAATGAGTTGGCTCGGATGCGAGAAAACCTGAAGTCTGAGAAGTCAGAAGTCTATAAGTGGAAGGACCTTGTAAAGGAACTTCGATCTCTCTTGGATGGCAAAAATGATGAAATTGAACGAAAGAGAGATGAGGCAAGTGTTTTGTTTTATTATATTAGGTACTTTAGGTCCTCAATGGCAGCCTGATTGTGAAAACTGATTAGGCTTGATGAAACAAAGCCTGTCAAGTTGATGCTTGTGTAATGGCTTGCAAGTTAGTATATCTGGTTGTTCATCAAACGATTTACCAAACAAGCACACATATGTGAATGTCAATGAAAGATGTTGCTGAGGATGGTTAGCTACACTGTAAATAATGTGGTATTGGTGGTGTTGCCAGGTGAAAGAGGCTCATGCAAGGGAGAGCTCCAGCACCCCCTCCCTTGCCCCGGGCATTCATGCCCAAGGCACCACCACTTCTGAGCCCCCCATCATTGTGGTACTGTTTGTTAATTTCCTGTTTTGCTGCTTGTCTTGGTTTCTTCATAGGTGCAGGAGGGTCTTTGAGATTATTTGCACAAGGACAAGACCTAATGCGGTCAGTTCTTTAACAAAAATGTTGATTTTTTAGGTTATCTACAACAACAAGGCCTTGTGAGGTTCTATTTGGGTTTTCTAACAAGTTTTGTAGTTTATAGACTTAATAGCTTATGGTAATGGTTTTTCAGGTATCAAAGCAGTTTAATTTTATTTTGCCAGGAAAAGAGACTGCTGGGAGCTTTTGTGGTAAGAATTGTAATATTGCTCTTCAAAGGAATGTGAAGAAATCATATTGAGTTTGGATGTTGTGGGGCTTTTGGTGCTCAGTGAAATCAGCAGTATACTAATATACTGAATTTAAAACTTTTATAATTATTTGTATTTTGCTTCTCAATTTTTTTTTATAAACTTTAACTCAGTTGCGTATATAAGGGAGCAAGTTATAGCACAAGCCATTCATTATATGTATGGGATGAAAGGTGGTTCAGTATTACATCTTTTATGAATAGTAATACAAGGAAATGTACAAGATGTGTTTCTAATTCACTAAATTCTGACTTCTATATCACTAAATATGTAATAATTATCAAGATGAAAATATGACATCTACAACCATCACAACCAGAGCCATCATACCAAGGTATTCTGTATGAACAAATATTTTTCAAGGTCACAAAAAAGAATTTTTGCAAAAACCTCATGAAATTCATGTCCCTTTCATGCAACAGGTTGATACCCTGCGTGACTCCCTCAAGGAAACGCAGAAGGAGCTGGACCATACAGCAGACCGCTTGCACAGAGGGATTGAGGAGAATGAAGCTCTTTGTGGCAGAATCCGTGAATTAGAGAGAGATTTGCAAGATCAGGTGAGCTGAATTGTTTAATTTGAGATTTTTATAATTGAGATAATATGATATAATCAATGTTTATTGCCCAAACTGTAAGATTTGCTTTCTTGAAGAGCCTTTAAAAGTTTAAATAAACAATAGATTAAAATATATTAGTACACATTGTGTAAAGTTGGCATGGTCAGTATATATGTAGATTGTCTTATATATTGGCCTGTTTTACCGTTCTCTTTTGCATGCTTTATAGGCTAGGAGAGCATCTTCGAGTCTCTCCATATCTAGCAGTCGTGAGAGATTTTCTTCAAGGAAGAACCTTCCACGTATTGAGTCCATCACTGACCTCACAAACTTTGACCTTACTCAAGATCCAGAGGAACTTGATAAGGAGCAGTAAGTTTTAGCATCTTCTCTGTGTTCTAAACTTTATCTACATTACATTTTTGCTTGGAAAAAATATGATAATTATTGTTTTCTGACAGTGAAGGTGGAAGGTAAAATCCTTATGGTATTAAAAAATTCCTGCAGGTTAGTAGATCAGTTCACTGAACTTCAGCTTCGGTTTGAGAAGGCTGTGAATGAGATCAAGGCACTGAAGAAGGAGATTCGTGATATTCAGAACCAGCATGATGACATCGAGCTGTCAAATCTGAAGCTGCGTCAGGACCTGAAGGGAAGTGAAGGCGACTTCAATTCTCAGCTGAATCTCATGACTTGCAGGATACAAGATCTGACTAACAAGCTGACTGCCTCTGAGAAGCAGGTGTGTATTATATTTCTCATTTCATTCTTTATTCCCCATTACTGTCCAGAAGTCAATATAGATAGATGTGTCTTATTTACTTTGTATTTCCTTATGAATTTCACTGATTTCGGCTGACTTCTTCAGGTTCGCCTTCTGAAGCAGAAGATCAGCCGAGCAGAGAGCCGTGACCGCAGACGGACCCAGAGCTTGAAGGGCCGTGAGTCTTTCACTCTCTCAAAGGATATGGAGCTGAAGTTGTCTCAGTTGGAATCAAAGATTGAGCAGCTACTTCAGAATGAGGAAGGCAGCTGTTCTCCAGAGGTAAGTCATTAGCAATGTGAAGGGAAATGTCACACCTTGTGCAAAATTATAAACTTACTGCATGTCAAATCAGAAGTGTAGAGAGTTGAAAACTGTGTTTCTGTAGGTGGAAGGAGAAGTGAAGGAGGGAAAGGGTGAGATGAAAGATACCAAAGTACCAAAGAGATCAAAGAGTTTTGATGATTCCACCAAGTCGTCACGTCTGCGTAGAAAATCTCTGGACAGTCCTGGGAGTTCAGAGGCCATGAAAGCCATTGTGCGCCTCAATGCTCTGGAGTCAAAGGTAGGCCAATTTGACTATGGTTATCTTTGGTTTGTTAATATTAAATGGTTATCTAATATAAGGCAATTCAAGATGCTGCCAGAATAAAATGAATGACTAAAAACTAACAAGCTCATGAGGTTCTTATATTACAATACCTTTTCATAATTTCTGTTACTCTGCTTTATCTTTGAATACAGTGGTATCAATTCTCTAGAACAAAATACAATCAATTATTTACTTCCCTTTATGTGGATATGTTACTCTGAAACATTGCACAGGTTTCCAACATCATGGGAGAGGCCATCCCAACGCCTTCACACACTCCAAAGAAGGAGCCACGACCTAGGTCTCCCACACACCCAGTTTCACCACTGAGGTAACTTTTGTTGGGGTTCTGTTTGTCTTTTTTTTTTTTATAATTCTCTGGATTTTTTTTTGGTTTGAAAGAATGTTTTAATTAAGCAGTCAGTTGTGAATTGAGTGTTTAAA